TAAATCACTAAGCCTTAGTCTAGTTTCATACTCCTGACGACTATAATAATTATAGTCTAGATTCCTCAATAATCCCTATGTCCACATCAAGATCTATCAACTAAGGAATAACCAAGTAGGATCATATCAGAGGTAGGGTCCGTTTGGGGTACATGGTATACTGTTTGGCAATCCCACTTTAAACACCTCACTAAATCCAGCTTAGACATCACTCTCGTAAGTAGATCAATCAATATAATGACTCAGAATCACTAATAAATCTTAATTATAGTTTCATAATAATGACTTATGATTATAATTAAAAGTTACACTTAAATAAATAAGCGTAGCATAAGTTACAAAGTAATCTAGTGAAAATCAGGAATTATGCAAGCAAAAATCTGACCCGATAGCTTCTATTCACCGACTATCTGACACTGTAGGACTTGGCCGAAGAGTTTGGGAACTTGGGAGTATCGGGACTAGAGGTTGGAAAGAGATCCAAAGGATTCGGGTAGTTTTGGGATGAGAAATGAGCTGATTTTCGATGGTTTATATAGCTGATTTTGGAGTGCATGTTACGTAATAGATAAGGTGTGTGTCGTGCATTTAGTCGAAAGAAAGTGATGTATTGCCTTCTGCATGGTGCCACGTGTCACATTCTAGATGGTGTTTCAGTGTGCGATGTTGCACGTGAAACTTTCTATTTTCTTAGAAAATTCATAACTTGCTCATACGAGCTCCGTTTTCGACATGTTTTATATCCACACGTTGCTATCGATGAGATCTATAACTTTCATTTAGACTCCATTTTCTAATTTTGATTTTATTTTTAAGGTTATATTTTTAACGGGATTAGACTGTTAAATCCCGTTAAAAATTCATAACTCTCTCTTTCGACGTCCGTTCTTAACTATCTTTATATTGCATGGTTCTTATCAGTGAGATCTTCGATTCTCATTTAGATTGTTTCGGCTAACAATCAACCGAACTAAAAGTCAAGATCAGTGTTGCACACTGCTACACTGGAACTTAGAAAAATCATAACTTCCTCTTACGAAGTCAAATTGGAGCATTCTCTATATGCATGCTCTTGGTTTAACGACGACTACGTCTTTCGTTTAGGTTACTTAGGCTAGTAAGCAGCCTATCTCTGATTCATTATTTATGACGCGTTGACTAAACGTGCAATTTCGGAAGTCTATAACTTCTGCGTACCAATTTGGATTTGAGTATGCCTTATATGTATGTGATTCATATCGCAACTCCTACGTTTTCCATCAAGATTATTTGTCCTAAATAATCTTCTATCAAGATTGCCATTTTGTCGCTCATTGATAATTTACTAAAATGGCTTGATAGTATGTAGTCTTCAATGCGCACAACTAATGGGAATCCTAATCGAGGATTTAAATTATGATTATTTTTTTATTTTGTCTACCCCGAAGATGAGGGCATTACAATTATCTCCCCCTTAGGATGATTACGTCCCATAATCATCAGCAAAGCAATGCTTAATAACAATTTCCTAAGTCATATCTTAATCCTCTAGTAAGGGGTTTCTTTTGTACTTGTTTCCACATACTGCTATCGTAACAGATCCTTTCATATTTAAATGTGAAATGACACTTTAGGTTTTTTTGTAACCGCTCAACAGTCTGTCGACCTAATTCCCTTAGCACCTTCACTTAAGTGACTTCTTGTAACTATTCTTCATTTTCCAAGGATAACAGGGTCCACAAAATTAACCGTTCCATGCTTCTTTCAGGCTTCAACCCTTGCCGGATTTTGACAGTTTTCATGTTTTCATTAACATAAGTATTTGAGAAGATTCGAGAATGGTATGAGATTCAAATACCCGAGTTATTCTTTGACAACAGGTCTATGAACATTTCCTACATGGAACAGCTCCTTATCATTCTAACCTACGTTATATCATGATTCTACACAACGATGGACACCTCAAATTAAGATCTAAGGTGAGATCATTCCCTTTACCTATAGGCGCAGGTAAAGGTTTCAAGTTCACCCACGATGGTGTTTCCTTACTTTCTAACCAAAACGTCCATTCAAACAGGTATTAAAGCTAATAACTCTTTTTCTTAGCTTATGGTGTTGTAAGATCTCCGGAACTTGACATAGAACCCGGAATTGAGTTGCCTTTCGCACTTTGGGTCTCCCCTACTTGGGTTTGGACCCTCGCTTTCTCGTTACATACAACCAATAAAACCCTAATTTGGCATTTTCTCTACGATTGGTAGTTTTCTTTCTGTTTAAAAGAAACTCCTAATTGCCATTACCTTCAATGTAGTATTGCTTCTTATGCTTATAACGAGTGATCTTCTTTTAAGACACAACATAGTCCGATAAAAATTATGAAAATCACTTAGATTGTTCTACCAACATACAGGTGTATCAGATGGCAGATGAGGGTCGTAATATTAGCAGCAACGACGTTCGCTGTACTCAATATTTTCTATTCCTCCTTTCTAAGATGATTAACCTTGTCGTATTCTTCTTGATCAAAATCAAGATAACGGGTTAGCGATGCACTAATAACGCCCTTATCTGTATCCCTTCTACAATATTTATAACCTTTGTGGCTTGCCAAACGAGTATCAAACTCTTGGACTTCTGCTGACGGTGCTTATCTCGCACTCGTATCTTAATTCTCTATTGGGCCTTCAGTCCAAATCTTGGAGTCATAAATTTGATATTTTTTGGAGGCTCCCGCTCCTTCTCAAATTTTGATAAAGACTCGACCTAAGATGAGTTCTTTACTCTAGCTACAATAACATATCAAATGGCCACATTCTAATGACCTTCTATTTTGTGGTGCATGCGAAGAACGTTGATCTAGATTCTTATCTCTGAAATTCCTTCTACTGAGGATACCTCTCTTCATGTTCTAATGTGGCACAACCATATTATAGCAAGTAGTACTTATAGCTACCGATTGCTTGCTTTGAGAGATTCAATCTTTCTACCTTTTTCCTTGTTCTCCCCCTCCGTTTGTTGACTAAGGTCAGTTACTATACTAGACATGGTTATTGGAACCAATCGACTTACTTCACAGATTGATACTATTCGGACTCGGCTCTTTATGACCGTCAAGGTCTGAATGAAAATTGTCTATGTAGTCATTATCGAGGCAAAGTTAATAATGGGAATGAATGAACATGATTCAGATACTGATGTGAGTTAGAATCGATAAACGAACACGAAATCAATCAAAGAAAGTAGTAAGAACACATCATGTAAATATGATCTGATTGGATCGTATTAGTCTGAAGAGAATACAAAGTATTCAAGAGTGTTTACAAAATGAAGAGCATGAAAGTTAATCTCAAATCTAGTACCTACCCTATTTATAGGGTACAACAGACTCAACAAAAAATACAAGGACTAAACATTCTAGCTTCGATTACAAACAGTGCCTAGTAAATACATAGAGAGTCGAAATCATTCAGATTCCGAGCACTTATAGACTGAACCTATTTCGACTCCTCACTATATATTCATTTTAACCCCTATACGTTTTGATCCCTACGATCTCCCCTTAGTGAGAGTAGTCAAAATTATGCCATAAGCTTCAAAATTTGAAGAAGTACATTACGAACCTCCTTATACCACAAAATAGTCTTTCGAATCTCTTCCTTGTCTTCAAACTTCATTCTTCTGATAGTTATTAATTTGAACAAGTAGATTGGTATATTGCGCATTCGTATACCTTTCTAAATCACTTACTTGAAACAAAAATTCCTGCATCCTCCCATTCTTGTTCTTCTCTCGAAACACGACCCCAAGAGGCTGATGAATTATCTCCCCATCTCCATATTTATCAATATCAATCTTTCCTTTCAAAAAATATTGAGAAACTTTCGAAGGCTTTTTGATAGCTAAAGCAAGATCAATATCCATGATTACTAAGTGATCATAGTAGTTGTTTATAAAAACCTTTATATGAGAAAAGCCAATGATGAAATCATCATTGTTGGTTTTAGTTAGCTTCGAAACATCCACACTACTCAGAATCCTTGTCATTGTGATAAAATCATTTAAGTTCATCAGTGGGAAGTCTGCAATTGAGAATTCACAAAGAACATTGTTCACTCTAAAGACCACATAGCGAAAATTTTGTAGAAGACCTTCAAACAAGTTGTATCGCATTATAGTCATCACCTTCACAATCTTCACAGATGACCATACTTATTCTTTGCTTTTTCCCCAAGATTGCATGGAAACGAATCTTCAGTCTATTGAAATCATCTTTATCATTGAAATTTTCAACAATCTTGAACTGGGAAGATGTGAACAACATGTGGTTTATTTGGAAGTCAAGTTGATTAAAATCAGAATTCTCAATATCATAGCTCTTCTTAGGCACCTTTCGAAAGTATTCATTCAACCCAATCGAAACAATTTCCTCAATGGTTTCATAACACCACTGCTTGTTGGGATCACCGTTATTCAAGGGAGGTGGGTTATTTTGTCTTCGCCTCATGATATTGTTGATTCACCTTTGCTTCTCGATTTCAAGAGCTTGTTGCTTTTTCTTCTATTCTTCTGAAAGAACCACATAAATAGCTTTTCCTTTATTACTTGGATCATCATTCGAAGTTGGCGGAGCAGAACTTGAACTCAAACCTCCAACTCCTTTGTTTATTGAGATCCATTTTGTCAGTGCTCTTGTAGTTTTTGTTGTTGAAGAAGACGTGGTCAAAGATATGGGAAGTGAAATCGGAATTTGAATCGAGCTTACTTTCCCAATAATAACCCCTTTCTTAGTATCTTTTGAGGAACCAACTCTTTTATCTCCCCCTTGTAACACTTGCACCGCACGTGGAGCATTTGTTGGCAATTGAAGAACCAACTCAAGGATTGGGGCAAGCTCTGGTTTGATATTGGTCTCAATATGCGAAATCAATTGAGAAATAGACTCTTGAGAAACTGATGATTGGTTCGAAATAGCAGCTTTCGAAATAGACTCCTTGATACTGGATAACAACTCTTCCATCTTTTCAGACACTTGAGAATCTTTTTTTTGACTTCGCTTCAAGCTTGTTCGAATGCTCAGTGTTTAAAGCAACCAACTTTGTGATAGTTGTCGTAATGACATCGACTTTTCTATGCAAGAAAGTGTAATTTTGCTCCATCTTCTGAACCTCTTTTGACATCTCCGATTTGAGGTTAACAACTTTGAGATCCACAGATTCCTTTACTTTCTTCACTTGTTCAAAAAATATATCATGACGTTCTTTTGCCACACCACGAAGCTTCTGAATCTCGTAGTCAAAACTTTTTGAATGAACTGCTAACTTTTTGGATTGTTTCCGTTCAATGCTTTCAACCAAGCTTCGAAAGTGATTCTATTAAGATTTCAACAAATACTCCATCGCGACCCCGATCACAAAATTTCTTCCCCCGGTAGTTGCTTGTATTTGAAGAAGATAATATATTTTGGTGTTGAGGATTTTAAATTGTTTACCTGACATAGTCAAGTTATCAGGAACATTTTCCTCCTCAAGATCGAATTCAAGATCAACAAAGGATACCATGATCTCATCATCATTAGATTCTTCTTCATGAATCATTCTCTCAACCTCAGTTGATTGAGAAAAGAATAGAGTGGTGATTGGTTCATGCATGATTATAGAGTAGGTTAGTAAGATGGTCGAAACTAGTATTTGAAGTTTTTAAAGGTGATGAAATTGGTGGTAAAGTTGTGGATGTGGAAACTGTAGAAGTTTTGAGTGTAGATGAGATGATGGTTGAAGTGGGAATGGTTGATGTGTAAAAAGTAGAAGTAGCAAAGAATTATGTCTTCTGCACCCCTTCACACATGTTGACATTTGTGTCCTTATCAGATAAGTCTACACGGATTTATAGAGTTCGAACCTCTTCCATATTGGACTCGATATGCAAAACACTGTGTGGTATGATCGTAGTCTTCTCAGGGATGGATGTTGTTGTTTGATCATTCAAATTGATGTTTGTATTTGTACTAGATACGTTTACAATGAAATTAGGATCCCCTGTCGCCTCGAAATTCGACTTGAGAGGAGAGTCCCTTCGAGGTGATCCAAGCACAAAATCTTCTATGAAAATATCACTATCACTGTCGTTTTCAGTTTCGACTATGACTTGGTCAAGTAGATCCTGGTGCTTTCTTTTCTTTTGTTGCAACTTCTGAGCCATATCCAGGGCTTGACACTTCTTCGCTGCAGGTGAGACTGGAATAGATACTTCTCTAAACAATACCCCTTTCCTGTTAAACTGATGCATTCTAATCTTCTTGATATCCTTCTAAGAAGAATGAGTACGTGAAGTATCAACATGCGTTTGCTTAGTAGTTTCGATTTCTGGTTCTTGAACAGATTTCTTGACAGGGGAATCATGGGGTTTCTTTGTTGGTTTCTTTGTAGGCTTGAAATGCCTGATTTCGAAGGAACATTTTCTTTCATAACATCCTCCTCCACAGTGAGTGGTTTCTCAACTTGCTTCTTCTTCTTTGGAACTTTAGAAGTTTTAGAAGAACCTGCAGCCTTTTTGATGGAAGAACACCAATAGAAACAGTAGATTCAATTGAAGCAAAATACTGTACAAGAAGCAGATTTTGAGGATCAAAAATATTGAACATTGCATCTAGAATTCGAGCAACAAAAGGAAACACAGTTGGATCATCAACAACAATCCTTGGAGTGGCCATATTCGAAAACTCAGTAGTTTTGACATTAGAAGGAACCAAAATTCCCTCTTGTTGATAAACCTCCTTCAAAATCAGACTTCAAAAACAAGCACACAAAACACCATTAGCAAGATTGGCGTGAGTAATTGTTGTTCCAGATTCCTCCCAGAGATGTGTGGCATAATCCACATCCAGACCATAGTACAACCCAACAATAACTGAATAAACCTCCAGTTTAGCTTTTTCTAACCCTGAGCTTCGACCTGTCAAGCATCATAACACGATTCCAAAGAAAAAACTCCATATGCAAGGAAGACTCGACTTCTTAAAATGACTTATTCCAGTCATAACTGGTTGATACCCCATTTCATTGAACATGTGAAGTACTTGATCAGTGGAAACTTCATAAAAAGTACCTGAGACAGGCAACTGCAGGATTTGGGCAAAATGCTTCCTCGTAAGCTTCCTCATCTTTGAATTCGTCAATTGATAAGTGACGACCTTCATTGTTTTGTTGAACACCGTAGTGGAACTAGCAAGAGAAATCCATGTCATTAGAACCGTGAACTAAGAAGACAATGTAGTTGATAAGACGGAGTTGGTTAGGGTTTGAACAAGCATACATAATGGTTCCGGATACCGATCAATAATTGGAACCAAATGAATATTAGTATTCAGAATCTTCATCATGGGTTGTGAAACTTCTTCGTCATTAGTTGCTGTAGTTGGATCAATACGATGAACAAATTGTATTTTTGGGAAATTTGATCTGAGAGCATAAAGTCTGAGAATGAAATCACCAACTGCCTTTTATAATCGATGATATTTTTGAATTTGAACCGGTATCCAATAATACTCTGCCATGTATTGTATTGGCTGCTTAACCGACACCGTAAAAAGCTCCATGTCATAAAAATGATCATCACGTTTTCCTTGAATCCGGTGAAAATCCTGAACCGTCATGTCCACCGAATCTTTCATTGTTCCCAATTGGATAAGAACTGTCACAACTTTTGAACTGCAACCAAGTACAACATCAAATTCGACACCATGGTAAAACTAATCCTTCAGCATGGAGGCTGGGCTAATTCGCTTTTGGGATTTAGAAGAGAAATCATATGCCATTCTTTGAGAAATCGTAAGACTGATTTGGTATTACTCAGATCCTTGAGGATTTCAGTGTGATTGTGTGCCAAAGAATGATATCGGGTAAAGATCTCTTCATTCGACATCAAGAAAGATGAAGAATTGCTTGTGTGGTATCTCGTGAATTACAGTCGAATACTCATTGATGAGCATCAAATGGCTTCTTTTACATCAGTATTAAAAGGTAGGTTCATGTTTTCTCAACACCACATCTTAACATAAGTGTGATCAAATTGAATAAAATTACTTGGATGATCAGTGTAGTCAAGAACAAGTACGGTTGAATATGATTTTAAGTGATGAAAAGTACAGAAAAGATATTCAGACAAAAATCTTATTCCAAAATAAAATTATGTACTGGATCTTTTTGGGAAAAAACGTCTTGGTGTTAGAGCATTTTATCAATATCACACAATTCGAATGGAATAAGATTTTGAATATCGAAATGCTACTGAAACAAGTGTTTGGTTAAAATCTTGAACAAAAGTTCACAGTCAATTCATTGATTGTTGGGTTTCACCTTTATCACGGAAGAATGATTTAGGATCATAAACACAGAGTTTTGTCATACCTATATCCTAGTAGGTTTCGACCATAAATGTCTTAGGTATAAGTCATTCGTGTGTGATTGTGTAAGAAATTTTGGGTGAAAAAGGTTGATAAAAGAACTCATTATACCTCTGCGAAATAGATGGAGCATGTAGAAATATCTTTACTCATCGTGAGAAGAGAAAGGTAGCCCTTTGACTAATGTGAATACAACCTAACTGGGAAGAAATTTTCATGAGAATAATTTCATTAAGGCTTCAAACACACAAAGTCTGTGAGGATTGGGGACAACATGTTGCAGCATGCTTCTAGCAACACTTAACTAGTACACAGTTTCGAAGTATACCTGTTCCTTTGATGAATATTTTCATGGAGCATGTGAATAAGCATCATGTTATTACAATGAGACATAAACCGTTAGACAAAAATATCAAGTATAAAAACAAGAAAATATTTTTGAATTTTGGTTTTTAGAAATCAAACACAAAAAAAAATCTTTGTGGATTTTTTGTTTTTAAAAATCAAATACAAAAATAAGAAAATATTTTTTGGGTTTTTGTTATTCGAAAAAGAAAAATCAAGAATAAACTTTAAAATGTTACCAAGAGATGTTCGACCTAATAGATAGCAATACCTAATCATGTTGCACATCGAAGAAATTTTACCCCAAAAGCGAACTGAGTTCAGAATGGTTCATAGTGAATTGAATGCGAACGTAGTCGAAAGCTGAACTGAAACAGTAGCCTCAAAAACACCAACAAATCGACAACAATTCAATCAAGAAGAACATGGAATAGAAATTGCTTTTGTCATTCCCAAACCATTCAAAATCCTTAAGAATGACTTTTCATCTAAAGTTTTTGTGAAAATATCTACAAGTTGATCCGTTGTTTTGACAAAACGAACCTCAATGTTCCCATCTTCTACATGGTCCTTTATGAAGTGATATCGAAGAGCAATGTGTTTGGTTTTTGAATGTTGGACTGGATTGTGGCAGATGCGAATGACACTTTGTGAATCACAATACAAAGGAATTTTCTTCATATTGATTGCATAGTCTCGCAATTAGCTTTAAATCTAAATTTCTTGTGATGTGCATGTAGTAGCAACCACATATTCCGCTTCTGTAGTCGAAATCGAAACATAAGTTTGCTTTTTCGATTGCCAGCTCACAAGCTTTCCATAAAATAATTGACATCCGCCAGTTGTGCTCTTTCGATCAAGTTGACATCCACCTAGATCCACATCACTTTGAAGGATACCATAATCCCAACGAAACTGCTCCTTTGAGATAGCGAAAGATATTCTTAACAACAATGAGATGAGGTTCTCTTGGGTTCGATTGGGACGTGGCACAATTACGTACACCAAACATAATATCAGGTTGACTTGCAGTTAAATACAAAAGCGAATCGATCATGCTTTATACGTCGTTAAGTCCACATCAGGCTTATCCAATGAAGGATTCAAGCGTGTGCCAACAACCATAGGTACTTTAACTTTAGTGTTATTCTTCATTCCAAACCTTTCAAGCAGATTGCAAGTATATTTTTCTTGATTAATAAAAATGCCTTCCCTGCTTTGATGAACATGCAAACCCAAAGAGTTATTAATTTTCCCCATCGCACTCATTTCAAATTGGCTTTTCATGAGTTCCTCAAATTCCTTAGATAACAAAGGACCGGCCAAACCAAAAATAATGTCATCGAAATAGATTTGAATGAGCATCAGGTGATCCCCTACTTTCTTTCAAAATAAGGTAGTATCAACTGATACTTGTTTAAATTTAGCGATTTTCAGAAAATTGGTCAGAGTTGTATACTAGGCACGAGGTGCTTGCTTCAACTAATAGATTGCCTTATCTAAAATATAACAATGATAAGGATACTTATCGTTAACGAACCCAGGTGGCTGTTTGACATATACCGTTTCCTCCAGAACTTCATTGAGGAATGTACATTTTACATCCATTTGATAAACGTTAAAATCCTTCTAAGTTGCATAAGTAAGAAAAAATTGTACCGCCTCGAGTCTTGAAAAAGAGGCAAAGGTTTCCTCACAATCGATACTTTCTTGTTGAGAATAACCTTTTACGACCAGTCTTGCTTTATTTCGAATCATATTACCTTCTTTATCAGTTTTATTTTTTAAAAAACCATTTTAGACCGATTAACGAAACATGTTTTGGTTTAGGAATTAACCGCCAAACTTTATTTCGTTCGAATTCAACAAGTTCAGATTGCATTGCAACAACCCAATCAGAGT